GGGGGCGGGGGGGGGGGGGGGGGAATTATTTTTTGGGGGGATGGACAATTTTTGAAATTGGGATTTTTTTGGAACGGGTGAAAAAAGGGGACTTTTTGCACGCTTCGCGCGCAAAAAACTGTGTTTTTCTCTCCAGTATATTCATTATAAAAAAATCCAATGTAACGTTTTTTGCCACCGGTTTATTCCGATATATATATGCATATATATGTATTCTTTTTTCTAAATACAATAAAACGAAATGAAAAATCATATTATAGCGCCACACGCAAAACCATATGTGCGCGTGGCGCGCGTACATCTTTAGTGGAGAACAAAATTCCAAAGAAATTACTGTGCCAGCACGGTAAAATGGGTTCGTTTGGACGGACGCAGAACAAATACCGTACCAGCACCGTAAATTTTTCTGTGGAGTACAACAATTTTTCACGCTAAATCTGAGAAAAATTCCTGCAGCGCACGACAGAAATTTCGGTGGTGGCACGAAAATTTTTCTGGGTCCACATAAACCTACTTTACCGCGTTACCACAGTAATTTTTCTGGAATTTTTTTCTCCGTATATCATAGTGTATCGTACGATGCATATATACATTGAGAGATATATCAACATAATATTACAAAACTAATTTCTTACGTCGAATGTCTCATTCTTCGGAATAAAACGCTTGAGTTTTCCTGCTTTATCTCGCACAAGAGCGTGCCACTAGATGCTTCTCCCTCGTGTTTTAAAATTACGGGGGTAACGGGGAAAATAGAGGTCGCGGATTGAGAGAGACGATGCGAGGGGGGAGTGATTTTTTAGGAGGATTGACAATTTTTGAATTAGGATTTTTTTTGGTACGAGTGAGAAAAGGGCACGCTTTGCGCGCACACTGAGAAAAAAAATGCTTTTGCCAAGTACATTTACGAACTACAAGCAGATTGACACATGTCTGAAGCAGATATTTATATACATTCACTTGTGGCAAGTAAATATACTTGGCAAAAGCAATTTTTTTTCTGAGTGCAAAGAAGAAATAATTTTTTTCAGGGAAAATTAACAATTTTTGCAATTATAATTTTGAGTAAAATTTTGGAAAATCATTTACTTATTTTTTTATTTTCGTGACAAATAAAATGGAAGGTGCGATTGTTAAAAACAAATTTAATAGACTTGAACATTTTGAATTGCACAATTTTGATTTGCACAATTGCTACAATTTTTATTCATTGCATTTTTTGTGTGATAGACAACTGTAAATTCGAGGAATATCATTATTTCGCACGAGAGCGTGATATCTTGGAGAGGATTGACAATATGAGAAATTACTAAATTTTTTTTAACATGAACCATCAGGTTGAATAAATTTTTTTAGTCATTCAGCCATTTTTTTATTTTTGTAATAAATAAAACGGTGGAAGTGTGATTGTTGAGAACAGTTTGGACAGACTTCAACATTTTGAATTGACTACCTCTATTAATTACAATTTTTCCATGTTTAAAAATAGTGAATAAAAACCTTATTTATTCATCCCAAAATTTATCCCTTGACCATTATTATAAACAAACATCCTTCATCAATTTCTCTAGAAAAATGACAAACAACATTTACCAAAAGATCTCAAAAGTCGTCGACTCATTCATCCGCGCTGAGAATGAAGAACTCAATTAATAGAATTCAATTCAGGTCCTCCGATTGGAAATAAACATGGGGAGGGATAATCGTTGAGTAGTAACTGAATGGCTTGAATCCTCCGGAATGTGATCCCATATTTATTTTATTTGTCACCGAATGGCTTTACCCCGGACGAGAGCGTGATAATAGTTTTCTGATCGAGAGGATTGACAAAATTAGAAATTACTAAATTTTTTTTAACATGAACTATCAATTGTTCATTATTCATTTACAATTTTTTCATGTTTAAAAATAATGAATAAAAACATCTTTCATTTACCCCAAAATTTATTCCTTGACTATTATTAAAAAAATATTCTTTATCGATTTCTCTAGAGAAATGCCAAACAAAAAAAATTCACGATCATAATAAAATTATGTACCAAAAGATCTCAAAAATCGTCGACTCATTCATCTTCGCTGAGAATGAAGAACTCAATTAATAGAATTCAATTAACGAAGTTATGTTTACTCACGTCCTCAGATTTGACATAAAAATGGGGAAGGGATAATCGTTGAGTAGTAATTGAATGGCTTGAATCCTCCGGAATGTGATCCCATATTTATTTTATTTGTCCAGTAAAAAGTGCATGGGCATTATTATACTCCCTCCTCATCGCTTACTTTCACTGAAGTAGTTTCTTCTTTTTGTGTAACACAAAAACGTATATAATAAAAGAGACGGGGGATCATGGCGCTTCTCACGCGCTGGCGCAAGGTTGAATGGCCCTTCTCTCTCTTTCTCTTGCAAAAGCGACACCAGCTAAACGTGAGCCACAATAATGGGTGATTCCATCCGATAATATACCATTTTGGTATTTATTTACACGGCATTTAGGGGCATTTTCCGTGACTCTTTATCGGTCAATGGAAGTTTATACAATGAATGAGGTTCAAGAATTGTGGCACGCGACTGATTTTATACACTGAAAAACTTTGCGTAAAACTTTTCGCCAGTGACTGCAACCTACCTCTCGTAAAAACAAACAATAGGAAGTATTTATCGCCAGACAATTCACCCAGGGATCGTTTATTATCGTTTGTACACAGTAAAATGTGGGTAAACACAACTGTACGCACGTGGATTCAATTTTTTTTTCTGTTTGTGTTTGCCAGGTATTAGATAATTGCCAACGCTTTTCACCTTGAACTGTCTATTTCTTCGAATTTTTCGAGGTGCGGTAAATAGAACGGCCGATAAATTTTTGGATTCTCGTTGACGCTTGTTCGGGTAAACATGCCCAAGTGGTTCGGGCATTTTCTTCGGGGGGAAATCCTTCCGAGCTTCTAGAATAGACCGAGAGTGTTTTCTAGACCCACCCCTACGGAAATATATATATTCTGAAAATGAGATATTTTATATATGGAATTGGCCGGATTATTTTTCCCAATCGGATTTCGACCAATCAGAGCGCAATATTTGAGGCTACACGACAGTTTTATTTCAGATATTTCCTCCTAGCTTTTGAATATTTCGCAGTAGTTCTTCATTTTTTTTACCTGAATATTTCGCAGTAGCTCTTCATTTTTTCGGCTCATTTCAGATAGAATCTTAAATTTGACAGTCTATGGAAATCGGGTTATTCTGTTAACATAATTTGTTCAAATCTTCCCCAATTCACCTCCTGATGTTGTCCACTGCACTCTGCTTGGCCAAAATCCGATTGGGAAAAGTAATCCGACAAATACCCCTCGAGATTCAAAATTAATCGGGTACTTCCCTCAAGCTCCCCGCAAGCGCTGGGGATTTTTTAACCTGCAGAACTTGACACCCTCATTTGTTTGCAATGAAGCTATCGGAAAATACCCGATAACACTCTAAAAAAAAATTACTACTCACCAGTACTGAATTCTACTTGGGAGAAGTTTTCTTGTGAAAAGTTGGGAAACTACTTGTCCCAAGTACTTTTCCTGTCCTTGGGTGAAGTACAATATTAAGCAANAAAAAAAGTTACTACTCACCAGTACTGAATTCTACTTGGGAGAAGTTTTCTTGTGAAAAGTTGGGAAACTACTTGTCCCAAGTACTTTTCCTGTCCTTGGGTGAAGTACAATATTAAGCAAGTAGGAAAAGTACTAGGAGGAAGTACTTTTATTACTTCCTGTCAGCATTTTTCTTACTTCTCACAAGTACTTTTAATGCTTGGAGCAAGTAATTTTTCTACTTCTCGCGAGTACTTTTATGACTTGATTCCAGTACTTTTGGTTGGTTATTTTGTTGGGGAATTTCATATCATTAATTATCATTCTCATTATCGTTCTCATTATCATTATCATTATCATTCTCAGATGACAATGACCAAATTTCATCGAGGGGAGGTTACGATGAGTTTAAAAATCGCGAGATATTGCAGTAAGATTTATCACACATTGATGATTGATTATTTATATATGTTGAAAGACGAAGAATAAGTGGGAAAAAAAACGATTATTTATTGTTTATTTGCCCCCAAGACCTTGAAAATGAAGAAAAATAACACAGTGTACTCAATTTTTGAGTTACAGGGTTTTCCTTTTGTAAATTTTTCAAAAGATGTCTAGAATAACGGTTACGAGCTACTTTTTTTCCAAATTCGACTTCTAAATAGGCAATTTCATTCTTTGTCGCATAATGAAATTGCAATTTTCACACAAGATAGCTCAAAAGATTAATACTTCAATTTTTTTGTTCAATATAAAATATAACAATTATTTTGAGAATCATTTTGCTGGCTATTTCGCATGAATATTACCTTTTTTGTTATTAAAAAAAAGGACTATTTGGAAATTAAATTTGGAAAACTTAATTGGTAATTGTTATTCTACACATCTTTTG